TCTTCTTCTTCTTCTTCTTCTTCTTCTTCTTCTTCATACCCTTTATTTATTTATTTATTTACTCAATTAAACAAAACTGCCGCCACGGTCTGAAGGACTTATTTTTTAAAACAATAGCGAGCAGTTAGATAATAAAATCAGAGTAGACAATCATGTCACCTTCTCCACATTAGTGCGAAAGCTGCACAGCTACCCAACGGGGTTGATAGGGAAATTAAATCATCAGTACGCCGGACCTACCAGTTTCCGGAGGCAGCTGTAGGCATCTCTGCGTCCAGAACGGAGCCATCCTCACACTTTAACTTCGAGATTTCCACGGCGGCCTGTGTGACAGTGTGGGCGGGAGTACGGGTGACAGATATCCACTTAGTTAAATTGTCCAAAATGTTCCTTGTGCTGGTAGAATAAGGACAGGCAACAATGCTGATGTCCCATTTAAGGTGTCGAATGGGTGGCCGAATAGGCCTGAACTCGGCAGTCGTGGTTTCTGTACGATCAGTATGCGATTCGGCCTCGTTGTCCGTCTCATCAGCATCCGCAAACTGCATAGCCTCCAGCTCTGCCTGCCTGTTTGTGGCCTGCAGGAAGGCCTCCGTACATTGAGCGGGATCAATTTTGGGTATGGCAGGCTCCTCGGACAATTTGTTTCCCCCGGCCTGCTAAAAAAGAAGTAAGAACAATCTGCTGGAATTCGGAACGAAACAAAAGCCTTAAAGAATATGTCGGCAAATGAAATTCTGAGTGGCTTCTATAACAAAGGCCTGCATAGATGAGATTGTAATATTGATTAGCGTGCTGTATAATTGCACAATATTTCAGTCACCTCAGGACGCTACCCTCTGAAAGGGCTTCCTATCTGGTCACTTGTATAAACCAGAAGCAGTAAAAAACTACTTAAATTGTATGTTTTTCTCCAAATTATTTTCGATGTACTTATACAGTTAAACGTTTTAATATACATAGGGATATTTTCTTCATATTCCACCTTGGGACGTTATTACATCTCTTTTGAAGTTTGTTTCAAGAAAGGGTATCTTTCAGATTTAAGAAACTGCACTTGCGCTTTGTATGTGAAAACCCAAAAGTGTATACTTAGCATATAAGAAAAAATAAACTTCGGATTCTACTAAGACAACGTCATAAACAGGTCATGAAACTTTACCACGAAGTTCAAGCGTGTTGTATACTTGATAATCAACATGAGTAAACGTAATGATGGAGTGTTCTATGGAAAGACATTTAAGAGTCCTACAAAATCTCACAATTGAAAGCTTTTATAACCGAAAAATACAATTTCTTCAAGCATACCATTTGAAGAGGACGTAATCTATTACAGTAGTCGCCGGTTATTAAGCCCACGGTTAATAGGCCCAGCCGTGTATT